CAAAATAAGAGAGATCATACAAAATGCATGTTATTTTTTATTTAGTACTGTCCTGAGTAAGATATTTTACATAAAAAATGTTTACATTTAGTCCACAAGACAAAACAAATAGCTGAAATTATTAAAATAACCCCATTCAAAAGTTTGGGAACCTACTGTGTGTGGTTACCTGGATTATCTACGACTGTTTTTTGTTTTATGATGGTTGTTCATGAGTCCCTTGTTCGTTCTGAACAGTTAAACTGAGCTCCATTGAACAGGATGAAGATGTCCCAATTTTTCTTATTTTGCTGAAATACTATTTTTTTTCCATTCAGTACTGGCCTTCGGAAGCAACAGAAGATACTTGCATGTTTCCCAGAACACAACGGACCCCCCAATACAGTAAAACCGCACATTTTAGAGTGGCCTTTTGTTGTGGCCAGCCTAAGGCACACCTCTGCAATAATCATGCCGTCTAATCAGCATCTTGATATGCCACACCTGTTTTAAGAAATTGTTTCATTGTAAAGCTATTTCACTTCTTCAACAATTTGTTTGGAATGCATCAATGCAAGGCATATTGTTCTCTATATACAGTGTTTATCATTATAAAAACCATATTAGGCTTCACAGGGAGCAGAAGTCATGACCATAAATTAATTGAAATAAAAATGACCCTATTCAAAAGTTCATATACACTTGATTCTTAATGATGCTTCAGAAGGAAAAACAATGCATTAAGAGCCAGGGGGTGAAAACTTTTGAACAGGATGAAGATGTCCCAATTTTTCTTATTTTGCTGAAATACTATTTTTTTTCCATTCAGTACTGGCCTTCGGAAGCAACAGAAGATACTTGCATGTTTCCCAGAACACAAATTAAGTACAATTTACCTTGATCTTCAAATTCAAAAAGTTTTCACCCACCGGCTCTTAATGCATCGTGTTTCCTTCTGGAGCATCAGTAAATGTTAGAACCTTTTTAATAGTTTGAGTCCCTCAATTGTCCTCAGTGTGAAAAGATGGATCTCAAAATCATACAGTTACTGCTGGAAAGTG